CCCCCCCGGCATATACGTTCTTTTTAAATAAAATATATTACTTCTGTCTTATCACCCATGGGCGGCTATTTAATTCCAAAAATTGTTTATTGAAATGGAATTTTCCGTTTAACCACCCTGGGTGGATTTTCGGAAAACTCCGGTAATAATAGTCCAATTGGAATGTTTACTTACCTTATAGCAACCAGCTCCACGTATGGGTGCTTCATAAGTCAATGAATCTTTACCCAAAAGAGTCCAGTTACGTTCAATAGGAATGCAAATAGAATTCGGCCCATATACCTCCAAGTTATAGTTGTTTAGTATCGTCAGAGCTAAGATTACGCAAAATATACCCAAAGGCAATTTACCCTCTGAATTTCGAGGATCACTACAAGTGCTAGATCGTTTAGGGCTTCCATCCGAAGTGGACCAAGTAACTTCCTAAAGGCATTTGGTGAAAATATCATTATGCAAGGTGGATCAAACTTGAACAAACGGACAAAAGTCAGTCAGATCAACTTTTCCGAAATAGGTTTGTGGTATGATCTTTCCTTCATATCGTAGATGCGATCGATTACCTAAGTAAGTATATAACGAATGATTGAATTTCGAGTTTGAATTCCAGGTCAACTGTACTAGATTGCAGTAACCAAAGCTACGCCCATCAGGAGTGCAAGTGAAGATGTCCTCGAGAGAGTTCTTCTGAGGGATCAAACAGAATGGTGCAACATCTGCGCCTCTGGTAAAGAATACTACTTATTACTCAATCAGCAGCATTCAAGGCTCAGTAAACTAACAAGAGCTTACTTGATGATTTGTTGGGTCATATATGAATAGCAGCTCTGAGAGGAGAACACACATCCTCGTTTAGCACCCCAGGCTAGGTTTTGAGCTAGGGAATACTTGGGAAGATACCACCTAAAAGGGAATAGAAAGTAAATGTTAGTTAGGTTGAATTAGAGGAACAAAAAATAACAATATACCCTGTATCCTCCAGAAAGGCAAGCGTTAGGTTAGAGATTCTAAATGAATTCGTAAAGGTTGCAGTCATAAGTTCATTCTAAAAAAAACAGCAAAAACAAGGAAAAGTCTTGGTAAAGAAATGCTAGTCTAAACAAAAATTGACGATCAAAGCTATTGAAAATTCATGCCGACTCAAAAGGTTAAATGGATTTATAGACTGTGAGATTTAGATTAAATATAACTAGACTAATGCTAGCAATTGTCTGATTGATATTTGAATAAGTTAACATTTATATTAAACTATTCAAGACAAAAGTATGCAAACCAGTGATTGACGCATTTCTTGATATGCTGAATGACGACACAAGTGAAATAATATCTGCTTTTGTCTAACAAATAAGCATGAATTTAAGAGGGAATATTCCGTTTTCCTTTAAATCTCATCACCGGCAAGGCGGTATTATTAAGCTCTTCTAAGTTGCATGTAGTATGAAGTAATTCGCTATCGTTATGCAAACTATCATTATTTCCATAATCTGCTTCAATATCCATGTAGGTTGAGTGCTGGGAAAGTTGGAAGAGATGATGGAAATAGGCAACAAAATATAGAAAGTAAGGTGAGTCCAACAGTCGTCGGGATAGTTAATCAACAGATGCTGTTCCATAAATGAATATATATGGTTTTCTTTTTGTTAATGAACTGAGTGAATGCATTTTAAGTAATATTGCACATGGATGATACCTGTGCTTATGACCTCTTCAAGGCGATTCCGATGAATTCATATTGAAGTTGAATTAAGAAATGGGTTATGAATATTTGAGTTAATGCGTAGATAAACAACAGTAGGATTTGAGTCAAGAATGTTGCTAACCTAGGCTAATATTCTATGTAAGTTAGCAGATGGCTACATATAAAACTTGCGCAATTTCACGTATTCTATGCATTAGCATTTACGTTGACTCTTGATGGGAAGGGGTGGTCAAGGAAGAGTAAGCATCGGATAAGGATACCGCTCAACTCTAGGACACAGAAAAAGGCACTTCGATGCATTGAGCAGCTTATTTGTAGTTATGGATATAACAAATTACACCAATATAGTTCGGTGACTAAAATAGAAGATTGCGCCATTCCTCCTACTGTTTTTCTTCAAGGGCATACATGTCAAATTGAATTTTAAAAGGCGTGAAACCGTTTGTTCTTAGAAATCAACAGCTGATGCAATTTTCACCGATTCTTCTTCAATGCTATGCTTTAACCGAACTGAAGGTTAGGAAAAATCTCAAACTTTGGGCACCTTAAAAAAACAGAGACATCAATCGAGGCGAAAGAGAAAGAAAATATTTGGCGTAAATACCAAAAAACTTCAAGTCATTTTCGAAAATCTATAACAGCGTATACGAAAAAATGTTACTTAGTTTCTACTCTGCCATTCAATGCAAATTCTTTCTTTTGATAATTAAGGTATTTGAAAAGTACCTTGGTATCTGTGCAAACATGGTGCCCTTCGATTCATTAAAATATTTTCCAACCCGATTGGTTTTCTAGCTCAATACTTGGATCCCTTATTGGCGAGTTTCAATTCGACATTTTATAAGTCCAAGGTAATTTCCCGTTCCCGCCGAGAATAATTTTTTTAAAACCTTTTTAGTTATGTAGAGCGAACCCAACATCTGAACTTCTACTACTTTGCACTCGGCAAAATACAAAGCCACAAAATTTGCTTTTAAGTTAAAAAAAACAATGAACACATACTAATAAAATGCGAGGTTATTTATCTACTTACCCCCAAAATTCGCATTTCCCAGTGGGAAAGGGAGACACCAAGACCTCCTTGATCTTCCAATTCAACGCCTTCAAGATCACGACAGTCAAAATACTTCCTAGCATATCGCTAATCCATGAAAAATAAAGGATCAATTGTTCAAGAAAAATAAATAAGAGCACCAACCAAAACATTCGGAGTAACGACCAAATGAACAGTCCGACTGAAATTTCCCATTGCATTGATCCAGGTTTTAACCGTCGTTTTGACAACTTTATCACTCCACTGATATATTCCCCTTCAAAAAAAGGAATAAACACGATTTCCAGAAAAAAAACTAGGAAGTTATTGCGTCAAATTAAACTTACTTGGCATGATTCACCCATCCGAGGCTAGGCAAATTGGTTATTGGGTTTCTAGGGGTTAGAGGAACTCCATTCTCATCACGAAAGAAGGCATATAAGGAAGGAGAGAAGCCCTGAGAAACATTTAAGTACAATTTCTCAATAATTTACAAGAATATGCATCAGTTCATGCTTCACGAAGTAGGCTAATTGGGAGAGATCATGAATCTTGTTGGAAGGACTCAAACAAAAATTTATGAAACCAGCGATTGGTCGATCTGTGAAGGCTTCTTGTTGACAGTGAGAAGAGTAGCCCAGAATTGTAGTATCATTACACCTTTTGGTAGGTTTAGCGGACAAAAAAATGAGAAAGTTATAACCAACTGTGGCCAAATTTTCCTTTGTCGTATTACTTGTAGAAGACGGAATTCGATAGTCCTATTAAGTAAAGACAACACAAATAAATATTTACATTCAAGTAAACTGACGGAATTGGCACAGGCCCGCAGAAAGTTACGCTTTTAAACTCTCGAGGACAAAATGTTATATTATTTACTCCAGACTTGGAATTGATATTGGCAGGCCTTTTACGAGCTCTAAAAAAAGGATAGGTACAATTCCAATCGACTAACCTATCAAGTTTGATTGATTTAGTGGAAGAATGCCGAACTGCAAGAGCATCTTCAATGAATTTCAGGGCTGGATCAACATACAAAGACTAACTGATATGAACTGAATAAATGTAAATAATTACTCTAATTTGATGACTATTTGGGAGTTTGTCGAAAGAAGAATCTGAGTAAATGCCAAACGACAATCGAATAGGGTGTGCATCTCGTTTTGAACGATTTGGTCGAATGTTAGCAACATTTATGATTACTGTATTTGCATCGGGACCCAGATGATGACAAGGGAAGCAGGTAATAATATCCAAAATGGAAATTATTGCGAAAAGGTAGATAGAGCACAAATCCATTCTGGTACTAGATTTCAAAAGGCTGCAGAATTAGGAACAAGGTTAAATCGTAATAACTTAATCCCATTGAGGCCCTAGAAGGTTGGAACTTATATTTCAAAATGTAAATTTAGACATATTAAACTTTAAAATATAATGTTTGGGTGCTTTAATAGGCAAAGGTATCATTAGAAAGATATAAAACGACCTTTTATAAATATACTAATTCAAAATACGATTATGTACAAAAATAAAGGAATTAGAAAAACAAAATTTACAAGCATCACACTTAAGTATCTCAGATGAGGGCTGAGAGTCGTTAAAATACGCTCCGTCTAATGGAGCCACTTAAAGTGAAGTTTAAGGAATAAGAAGCCCTCATTGGTAGTCGAAGTAGATGCACTAAACAGCCATTGGAAACGCCGTTAATTCCTTAACAGACCAATGAAAGGGGGAGAAGTGAGCCAATAGGAAATAGGTATAATTGCCAATACTCCCTATTTTAAAATTAGCAAGTAAATTTCTTTTAGTCAAATGTAATTTCTTCATTATTGGATTAAGAGGTGGTGTTATTGGAATATCTTTGTATTTATTTTAGTTCTCATTTAAGCCAAGTTTATTACTTTTAACTTTTGTTTCCAAATTGTTTTTTTGCATGTAAGACCTGAATTAATTTGACTTAGTACGTTTATTGAGCGCCCTTCAGGTCAATCCGCTTGGAGTATACAAAGCCATTAGGGCTGTCCGTAGTGTTCCTTCGAACAATCCGGAAAGGGCAGATGTGCAACTGATCGCGTCTAGGGTAAGGGTGGGAGAAGATGGAGAGGCTTCCTGAAAATTTAATTATCAATATTCGTGCAGCTTAGCCTTAAGTGTGCTCATCTCTACTCCTCATTTTCAGTTAGCCCCCATCATAAGTTACCTTCCGCATTCTCTAATTTGGATGCAGCCTAGAAAGCTTTGGAAGCAATTTGCACTAGAGGAATCCTCCGGTGCATTACCAAGTCTTCGCCGATTGCTAATTGTAAGATATCTGTTTTACTAACGATGCACTGAATTCGGCGCTTTTCACCTACACAAGACAATGCTTAGATTAAGAGCAGTTAATAACAAAGTTATAAATATTCTGATTAATAAAAGCAGGTTTTGATTTTTAGGTTAGACTAATACCTGAAACCAGAATATATAAGAATAATTATTGATATGCTGCGCTACTTTTTTCCCATTATGGAGGTAAGAGTTCCATTTTAGATGCAATCTAAATTTCGACTGCGAACCCTAGTCATATGAAAACATACTAGTTTATGCGTTGTCAATTTGCATTTTGTTTATTAATAACGTATTCATATGAGGAACCATACATTTAAACATACTTGATAATAACGCAGTCAAACGGCCGTGCCTCCATTTTTGGAGCTTGAATACTTTTAACTACGCACAAAAACCACAGAAAATATTGATAATAACAATAACAGTATTAAATACAAGAGTAAATCAAATATCGAATTATACTTACTATGGTTCCTGGCCTTTAATAACGGTTATTTGGCAAGGAAGTTAAAAATAATTAAATACTATTACATCATTAAGCCAAAACCCGAATTAATATATCCCTGATAAATACAGAAAATCAGTGATACTAAATTGAGTGTGAACATTTACATGATGCAAGCTGCTTTGAGCTAGTACTTTAATATTATATTGTAGTATGGGTCTAATTCCTACATTGGGTCTGTATGAAAGATGTTAGCTATTTAAATGGGCTTATTTGAGAGGAAATTAATATAATATAACCTGCCACTGCCTTAGAAAAAGATAATTGAAAGATCGGAGTTAAGTTAGTTGCTTAATTGAAAATGTAAGCTATTAAATATACTACTTTTTCTCAAATTGGTTGAATATATATGTTCTGTCTTAAAATAAGGTCTGTGTAATTGTTCTAAAAGCAATATTTCTTCATGGATTATTGGTTATACGAGCGTGAAACATATCCAAAATCTACAAATATTCTATTCGTACCGACCTTAAATGGACGCATTCAGGGACTCTCTTGCTTACTTTGAACACAATTGTTCTGACACTCCCGTGGTTATTCTAGGTTTTGTTGTCGAAGCATGATATTATGGACGACCTCATTTAGCAGTAGAGAGTCCTATGAAACCCATTTCAGAAATTCTTTAGTTACCTCATACCTATAAAATTAACAACGAGAGTTATAGACGCAGAATTAATTCTCATGTGAATTAACAGTAACATATAGATAAATAGGGAAGCATAACATTGGAAATAGTGTAATCGTTAACTTAATTTTATTAGTTGGTATAAGGACACACGCGGAAACAAAAGAAAAGTATTTAAGTGAAAAACTAGTAAATACCCCAGTCAGATTAGGTAAATTACTATCAATTCCCGAACCATTATTAACTATTATCAATTAGATCTTCTGTTTCATTGATAGCATACTAAAAAAATCTGAAGCTATTTAATTAATTTAATAATAAGATATTTATTAATATTATTAAAAAATGTCGAATTCGTACTGATTTGGTATTCTTATATGTAACTAAATATTTGATTAAATATTACCAGAATGAACTCCAGTTTTATATAATAATTACGATATTCGTTCTTAACTTAACAAAATAGCTTATGATATCCTTAGAGCTGTGAAGTCTTTTTGTAACCTATTGATCATATCCTAATGCCCTTTTGTGCTTTAGCCCAAACCGCAATTTATCCTTTGATAAACTTGACATGCTAGCATCCTCCAAGTTACTCCGCCCATGCTGGAAATTATCTTCAACAGTGAGGGCAAATTATGACGACTTTGATTATGCTTATAAAAGGGGTGAAGATGGATTTTGCCAATTTGTTGACAGACCCTCACAGTTTCCTATTGAGGCAACTTCAATATTCCTTTTCCCTGGTCAAGGCGCTCAGTTTGTTGGAATGGGGAGAAATCTTCTTAAATATCCCGGTGTAAAAGAGATGTATGAAACTGCCAGCTCTATGTTACGAACAGATCTATTGAAGACTTGCCTTGAAGGACCATCTGATAAGCTCCGAAATAACATCCATTGCCAACCTGCCATTTATGTTACTTCCTTAGCTGCTGTGAAAAAACTTCAACACGAATGCCCTAAAGTTAGCTATTTTTTCCCAATATGAATTGTTAGATGATAGAAAACTGCGTTGCGGCTGCTGGATATAGTGTTGGTGAGATCGCAGCTTTAACATTCGCTGGATCATTCACATTTGAAGAAGGCAGGTTGCTTTTATCTCTTCGCCTATATTATACTTATTTTCCATAGGGCTTCATTTAGTTCGTGTTCGAGCTGAAGCTATGCAGAAGGTTTGTAAGCAGATTCCCGGGGGAATGCTTTCCGTAAGGACGACGCATGAATCTCAACTTAACGATTGCATTAATGCCGCCAGAAACGCGTGTCCTCTAGACTTAAAAACTCTAACGGTTTGTCACTGCCAGATCGCTGCATTCCTTGCTCCAGATGTTCGAGTCGTTTCAGGAACAAATCAGGTAGTTTTAAGTGATATTTAACTAACTTGTCTTGTATTTTCATGGCTTTGCATCTCCTTCCTTAACCTGCTATTAGGCACTTGAATTCATTGAAAAGCACTACGAGCAGTTTCGTTTGAAGTCCGTTAAGCGCCTGGATGTTGAAGGACCATATCATACTGTCAATATGGAGCCTGCTATGAAGGCTATGATACGCGCTTTTGGCAAAATGGAAGAGCCTCGAAATCCAAAAATCCCAGTACTCTGTAATTATGACGTGAAGCCCTACCTTTTCAATATCAATCCTCATCTTGCTATATCAGTGAGTCTTTTTTGGGTTTCATATTTCATCTTCTCGACCACTTGTGCTATAAGAGGGTTATTTTTTGTCTTTTCATAGGCTAAGAGTATAATTTACTGGGAGCAGATCTTACATTGCCTTTACAGTCGGCCAGACACATATCCCTTCCCAATGACAGTCGAAGTCGGTCCAGGACGGCAGTTGGGAGCTACTCTTCGGATGGTGAACAGAAAGGCCTTCCAGCGGTACCGAAATGTTGAAGTTTAGCTGTATTGCCTTAATACCTTCCCGGTAAACTGTGAATCAGCACTCAGGAATTTCCTCTGCAATATTTGCATAACTCTTATTTAGTACGTTTTTAATGTACTGATAGACCATTTAGCACGTGAAACAGACGTGTGTTGAGACTCTTTGGTATTAAAACCGATTTGTGTTAAAGTGCATTGTGGTTTGAATCAGCTTCTATTTAGATATGACATAGTGTTGCAACCATGTCGACACTTAATGATAAACAGTATTGTCATAATTTTCATATAAATTTGTCTTAGTCGTAGTTCTCCTTTCTGTGGGAACTGAGTCTACAAGGCCGTTGCACTCCTAGCGATATCGATTTTCGCAGTCGTTAATTTGGCTAAGAGTGGTGGTAGAACTTAAGTGTTCTGAAAACTTCTCCTAATAGGGTGTGAATGTTCTCGAACAGAGTAATCAATTGGATATATCATCTCATTTCCCAAGAAACTTGAATTCCTAAAAAGATTTTCTCAATTCTTGAGGATATCTATTAGTGTTCTAGTGCACCGTAGTGCAAGACCTGAATCTTATTTTCCCAATTATTTATTTATTTCAAATGGCAGGCTTTATGATAGTTATGTCCTTTAGTTGACCTCAGGCTTCACAGAGGGGAAGGAACATCTAAGTGAAAAGAGTCGAGAGGGGGATAGGGAACAGAAGAGTGTTTCAAAGACGAAG